CGCTGGAGCGAATCTGGGCCCGAGAGCACAAGTTGAACCTTCGGTCAAACTCTCATGCTATTCGAGAGCTTTCCAATGCGCCCTTTATGCAATCGGGCACTTCCGGTTATCAAAGTCTTCAAGCGGCTTCAGAAGGTTCTGGAGGTGGACTGTCGCCGGTTTCTGCCAACGATTCCGCTGCCTTGGCTGGAAACGCCTCACTTTCTTCAGCATCTTCCGCCTCTTCGGCGACCTCAACGACGCTAAATCTGCTCGATGCGACGATGAACACCAACCTCAATAATGCCAGCAACTACTCCTCTTCAAACTCCACCGCTCCGCTTTCGCCCGCCTTTGGCGGTGGTGGTGGTGGTGGTGAACTTCGAAGTATCCTCAAGAAGTCCACCTCGCCGACGCCCAATTCCAATGCTAACGCTAATGGTCGACAGAAGGAACAACATTATCTCGGAGAGTACTACCACCAATCGGCGGTGCAGCAGATTGCCGCTGAACTTTCGGCGACGCCGCTTGGAGGAAGTGGTGGAGGTCAAAGTTCGAATACTTCAACTTCGAACACATCGAACACCACCACCACCACCACCACCCACGCCCAGCCCGGACAGTACCAGCAGTTTCACAGTGATCTCAACAAGAGTCTGGAGGAGAAGCTGCGCATCGGCCAGTGAAGATGATGAAGATAACGATAATGATGATAATGGCGATGATGTGCCTGAGCTTGAAGACTTTGCTATTTTTGTACAGTTGATTCTGTTGTTGCTATTTTTATTCAGTTTTGAATCCATCATCTCATCCGTTGTGCTATTTTATTTTTATTTTTTTGAATCATTTCCTCTTTTTCATTCTCTCTTTTTCTCTCTCTCTCCTTTTTTCATTCCCTTTTCACTCATATTTGTATTTTAAAAACTCCTCCCTTTTCTCTTTCTCTCTATTTTTCTATCACCACCAACTTTTCTTTTTCCTCCGATCAACAACACTCCGATTCATTCCACCACTCACAGTTTTCTGTTGTTTGAATTTTTGTTTGTCTGTTTGATTCTTTCTTTCTCTCTTTCTAATAACAATAAAAACGCATTTTTCAAATTAGAACTTTTGTGTTCAACTTTTGTATTTTTTGGAATATTGAAAAATCAGTGTTAAAAAAAATGCTGAAAAGTGTCTTCAATTTTTTAATCTCGTTAGTCTGCTTTGCCGTCAGAGGAGGGCGCCACTGTCGCTGTAACCGGCACGCTGTCCTCTTCGCTTTTGCTTCCAGCACCTTCGGACAAGCGTGGTCGCCTGCTTTTGCTTTTGTTCTCATTTTCTTTTCTCCGGGATTCTATTTGGTCTCCGGGACCCGAAAACTCCCAAAATGGACGCCGTCAGCCCTGGTCACCCAAAAGACCTTTTATCGTCAAGATCTTCAACACGTGATGGTGGTCCTGGTGGCGGTAGTGGCAGTGGACACTTCGATGAACTACGATGACGACGACGATGTTGTTTCGGTGAGTACCAATTTTACCAATTGTCTCCCATCTTCCTCTTTCAATTCATCTTTCGCAACTTTGCTCATCAACTTTGATTTGATGGCGATGATGATGATGATGATGATTATCCCGAGCTTAGCTCTCTTTCACTCTCTTTTTCTATTTACATCACTGTTGCCTTTCTCTCTGTCTGTCTGTTAGCCTTTTGTCTGTGTTTCTGTCTGTCTGTGTTTGATTGACAGTGTATCATTGCTGCTGCTGCTGTTTTCATTTTCATCATTTTGCAATTCAATAACTGTTGCATATGCTCCTGCGCCCGCGCGGCCAATTGTTGATTTGCCTAATCAACGACGCAAATCTATCCAATCGATAGCAGATCTGCTCTGATTAGGCAAAGCTGCTCTGCTCTGACTGGCGCTCTGTATCTGCTCCTTCTCCTTTACCATTACCATCATCAGTCTTTGGTGTCTTTAGCAGCAGCTGAAGTGGAAGCCATCATCAACAATTGAGCTGAAAGTGTCATCAGCAGCAGCAACAGCAAGCGAAAAGACAGCAGGAGCACACCGAGTGCTCGTTGTTGTTGGTACTGTTCATCTTTTCCACTCATCTCAACTCATCTCATCTGTAGAAAAGCGACTCAACTCATCATTAGGCTAATTTTAGAGGGAGTGAGAGAGAGTTGACATTTTCCCGCTTCTTCAGAAAGAAGTGAACTTCTTCTCTTTTACTCGTTTCCAGCTATTTGTGTACTGGAAGAGAAGAGAAGGAAAGAATATTCATTAGTGCGCCGATGAACACGACGACGACGACGACGCTCAATTTTACTGTACTTTACTTCACCCTCACTTCACTCCTCTCATGTATGACATCTTTGACTCTTTTTTATGACGATTTGTCTCTCGATCTCCTTCCTCGGCGTCTTATACCGCTTCTTTAGCCGCCGCATCTTCTTCTTTTTCTTCTTCTTCTCCTCCCTCGAAGACGAATGACTGGCGTGCAAGGGGAGCGTGTTAGAAAAAGAAGAAGAAGAAGAATAAGACAACCAAGAAGAGGAGGGATTCTATTTTTGGCGCCCAGATTCTACTTGCTCACTTTTCTCCTTTGATTGCAGTGTTCACTGTGAGCATCACGATTGTACAGCTTTGCTTTGACTTTCCTTTGGTAGTAGTGTTTTTGCTGCTGAAGAGAGATTTGCCATTTAGATTATGGTGACGAGCTGTGGCTGCTTTAGAAGAGAGCAACAGGCAGCCACCGTAGCCGACGCCGCCGCTTTCTTTCTTTCTTTCTTTGCCATCCTTTCTTTTTTGATTCGGATGATTCTGAAGACTGAGAAGAAGAAGAAGAGGACTAAAATGAAAGCAAATAGAAGGGCTTAGGTTACCAGATGGAGAGCTTATCTTGACAGCAGCCACGGCAACAACGGCAGCTTATGATTTTGCTCCTAACTTTTCGCTTTAATTTGAAATCGTCTGTCTCTGTCTGCCTGCCTGCCTGTGTGTGCCCGTCAGTGTTCACTTTCCGCCTGACCAGAATATTCTGACGTACTCAGTTTTGTTCTCTAACTTTCTGATTCTGATTCTCTTTCTGTCTGTGTGTGTTTACGTTGCCTGCCGCTTTCCTTTTCTTTCCTCTCTTTCCATTCGTTGCGCTTGTCTGTTTAGCTGCTGCTGCTGGTGCTGTCTTTTTCCTTTCAGTTTTTTCTTTTGCACTGTGTGCGGCGGCACAGTGTTCGTTGTCTGTATTATTCTCCCTTTTCCACTCTTCTTTTTTGCCCTTTCGTTGTCTGCCTTGTCTGCCTTGTCTTGCACACTTTAGTGTGATGATGATGATCGTCTTCAGCTTGCTGCATGCAATTAACCTAATTCGCTCCTGGCCTGTGCACTTCTGTGTGTTTTTTGTACGACAGTCAGATGTACACTGGTTGCACCATGTGTTCGCTTGGATGCATTGGCAGCAGCAGCAGCAGCAGCAACATATGGTGATCGCCAATGCTGTGGTGGTAGTGGTTTTTTCTCCTGAATCTCTTTCGATTCTGGGTTATGCAAACATCGTTTGAAGAGGGGAGAGGTGCAACAGATGATCGGAGTTGAAGATGCTGCTGCTTCTGCTGCTGCTGGTAATTAGTGGGTCATTAGAAAAGAGTGCAATGTTGCTGCTGCTGCTGCTGCTCATTAGTAGCGCAGTGATGCTTCGGTGAAATCTTGTTGCTGGTTTTTGGTTTAGGTTTTTTGTTGACTCTGAGCTCTGATTTGGACGAAAGTTTTGAAGGTGTTTGAAGTTCCTTNGTTTTTTTTATCTAATCCTGTTCGAAATGATTATCACTCTGAAAACGGCTTAATTAATTGTGCGAAACTATGATGAATGGCATAGACTCGGTGATCTTCTTCTCCTTTTCTTTTTGACTGCCGAATTGACACTGTTTACATTGACTACAGTGTGAATGATTGGTGGTTGTGATCGATTTGCTGGTCAATTTGGTGGGGTTTTTGAGCCTGTTTTCAAAATTGATGAGCGATTTATGATGATGATGATGGCTGTTTTGTTTATTTATCTGCTTAGGTCAGTGGGTCGAGGAGTTTTTGTAACCTTCTTTGCATTAAGATTACTCCTCGAATTCACACTTTCCACTTTGTCTACTTTTCCTTTCATCAATTTCTTTAGTTGATCATCTCAGAAAGATCCTCT